GTTTTGTGTTTGTTTTTTTTTTTTTTTTTTTTTGTGTGTGTGTGTGTGAGTGTGTCTGTATGTCTGTCTCTGTGTCTGTGTCTGTGTGTGTGCCACACGGGTGTGGGTCCTCCCAGAGGTTAGAGGAAACTTCAGATCCTCTGGAGCTGGAGTTACAGGCGGTTGTCAGCTATAGATGTGGGTGCAGGGAAGCAAACTGGATCCTCTGGAAAAGCAGCAAGCCTCCTTAACTACTGATCCATCATCCCAGGGCCATAACCCTCTGTACTTTATAAAAGACTGAGCCTCTTGCCTAGTGTTAATAACAACAGAGAACAAAGTCACCAAGAGACTCTTTCTTGCTGGCCTGGGTGGACCATTTCATGTCAGTCAAGCCAGTTCCTCCCCAGGATCCCAAAACTCAACACCTATCTCTCCTCCATGACAGCATGTTCTCTTTCACCTGGGACTATTCCTTCCTAGATGCCCCCACTGGTCCTCAGAAACAGCTTTTCCCCCATTTATTCTTCCTCCAGAGAGTCTTTAGGAATCTGATCAGCTCCTACCTCTTCTGGAGACCACTATGGACTCTCAGATGATCTTAAGACTCAACTGGGGCTGCAGTTCTTGCGAAGGACCTGGGTTCAGTTCCCAGGACCCGCATGGTACTCACACCATCTGTAACTTATTTCCAGGGGGTCCTACCCTCTTTTGAGCACCAAGCATGCATGTGGCATACATGCGTACATGCAGGCAACACTCACACACGTGAAATAAAAATAAACCCTAGGGAGGAAAGCCATTTTGCTTTGCCTGTGCTCTGTCACCCAGGTGAGCAGGTAGCTTATCTAATTAATGTCTGTGTGTTTACTCTGCACTCAAACCAGGCTGCCAGCTCCTGGGTGTCAAGGATGCAGCTCTGCTCCCCAACTCTGCCCCTATCATCCTATGAGATGCAACATGAGACTCTTTAATCGTTCAAGAGATAGAGTTAGAAAGGCAACCAACCATCACATCAGAGCTGGTATAGGCTCTAATTTCCTGATGACTGCACTTCCATAGACTCTGTGTGTTCATGTCATTAAGATCACTGTCCCCATGGGACTGGAGAGATGGCTTAGAGGTTAAGAGCACTGGCTACTCTTCCAGAGGTCTGAGTTTGATTCCCGGCAACCACATGGCGGCTCACAGCCATCTGTAATGGGGGAAAAGACGCAGCATTGTCCCACTATGACGGACCCTCTCTGTAGGTCTGTGTGTAGTTAGTGGTGCTGGGCGAAGGTGTCAGATTCTTTAGTGGTATAGTCACTCATGAGATGCCCATGAGTAAATAGACCGCACCATGGTTATGGGGTTGGGGGAGGTCAGCATCTCACCTTTTCCTCACCAACTTCCCTTCTGAACCCAGAGCCTAGAAAGCATCCTTTCTCTTTGTGCTTAGTGATCTTCAAGCCATCAGCCACACATAAGCCCACTCTGAATGACCCTTATTAAACTCAGTGGGAGAAAAACTAAAGGATACCAAGGTAGGAAGGCTCTTGTTGGCAAAAAGAAAGGTTTATGTGAGAGACAGAGGGAGGAGAGAGGGAAAGGCGGATCTCGAATGACTGAGATTCAGTACATACATATGTTAAGTTGTCAAAGGATTTTTAAACATAAAATCAATAGGGTGTTGACTTGAGCTTTCTAACATGTGGGACACACATGGATCAAACACTCGGGTCTGGGCAGGGAAACACAATTGTCATCACATTCATGTGGCTAAGGCAGGAGTATCATGACTTGGAAGCCAACCTAAAAACAAAGGAAGACCCTGTCCTATGGTGTAAATTAAAATAACTAAATTTGCCACCATTGGAGGGTGGACTCACTAAAGCCAGGAGGTTATCAATACAAGGTTCAAGAGGGAGATCTCTACAATCACTGGAGAGACAGAGGGGTGGGACTTAGAACCACTGCTTCAGCTCCCTCCTGGAAGGAAGGACCATGGATGCAGATTCAGATTAGTTATTAATGAACAAGTGGTAATTAAGCATTAAATCCCAAGTATGAAGCATCAATGCAAAGACTGGAGAACAATGCTGGCTGCAGAAAGAAAGTGATAAGCACTCCCTACTCACCCCTCCTCCTGCCCTGCCTGCCTCTCCCCTTTGTCCCTGAACACCTCAAGCTAATCTTTGCTCTCTCTTTTGTTGATAGGAGCAAAACCTGTTGTTGACGCCTCTGACATTTTCCTTTCTTTTCTGCAACAGACAGGCTCCTTGGAGTGAAATTCTACACACTTACACCTCACCATCTTGACACCTTTCACACTCCAAGCAGAGTGCTCCACACAATTGCAGCATAGCGAGGACCAGCCTGTCAATCTGAGCACCATCCATCAGCAAGCAGCATCTCACCTGAACCTAGGGCCTGGAGGAGTCCCTTGCTCTTGCTGATGAGAGATCTCCATAGACATAAGCAGGGGAAGCCCAACCCAAGGCCCCATGGAAGTCTCACCCGCATGAAGGAGTTGAGGAGGCCTCTTCTGTCCATCTGCAGGAGGTTCCCCAAGAAGGGCAGAGGACGGGGTCCTGGTGGGAGGTGGCCACGGGCCTTTGGGTGGCCCCTGACCAGGAGTAGCAAGAAGCCAGCAAAAAAAGCGAGGAGGAGCAGGACACTGGGCTCCATGGTCCTCGTCTGAACCCCGTCTACTTCACAGCACAACCCAGAAGGACCTTTTATACTCAATCTGCCTCTCCACCCAGTTATGTAACTTCAGCTGTTCCTGCCTCCTGTCTCAAAATTGTTCAGGAGTGTGAGCACCTACACTTCCTGCTTGGGCTGCCGGTGATCTGTTTACTCCTTGTCTCCTTACCCCTACCCTAGATGTTGGCAGGGGCACCATGAAACAGATACACAGGACAAAAGGGCATTGGGAGTAATGCATCTTGATTTCTGGGAGTGAGTGTACACATGTCAGCTCAGATAGATCTGATTATTTATTCAGGCATGAACCTTAGTGTGTGCACTGTATGCTTTTCATAGGAGGTGGTCATTTCTAACATGAATGTGCAGGTTTGTTCCTGTGTTTGAGTCTAGATATGCTAGCTAGTCTACTCTTGCACGTATAATCTTCAATTACGGAGGCCCTTCTTTATGTTCTTAGCTTCATACGTGAATGTGATTACATTTAAATACAAGAAGAGTATTTCAGGGTCCTTGTGTGTCTCGGTGTGTCTACGCAGTTCCCTACACGACTCCTTCAGTGTCTGCAGATGCTGTTTCTCCAGAGTCCCCTTTGCTCTTTCTGGCCCCTGACAGCCACAGATGGGAGAAAAAGAAGAGAGAGAAGGAGAAGCAAGAGATTCACGATTGTAGAGGCTCTGGAGCCAGGAGGAGAGAGAGGCTGGAACCTGGCAGAGGAGCAGTTGGAACCTCTGGGTGTCTGTGCTGGCTAGCTGTTATGTCCACTTGATTCAAGCTAGGGTCATTTGAGAGGAAGGAATTTCAGCTGAGAAATTGCATCCATAAAAATCACACCGCAGGGCAATTTTTTAATTAGTGATTAATAATCATTGATGGAGTTCAGTCCACTGGAGGTGCTGCCATCCCTGGGCTGGTGGTCCTGGGTTCTATAAGAAAGTGGACTGAGCAAGCCATGAGGAAGAAACCAGTAAGTAGCACCCTCTCTGGCCTCCGCATCAGCTCCAGCCTCTAGGTTCCTGCCCTTACTTTCCTGGATGAAGAATTGTAAAGTTGAATGCAAGCAAAATAACCCTTTCCTCCCCAGGTTGCTTTTGGTCATGGTGTTTGGTCACAGAGATTAAAATAGTCTCAGATCATTGTGACTAATGACAGATGATTCTGTGCTCCTGGCTGTCGTCACAGAACATGAAGTTCTCTGACCCTCTCTCTCGCTGTCTCTCTCTCTCTCTGACAGTGTCTTTGTCCCATCCCGATCCATCCTCTGCCACCATCTGTGCGGCAAGATGCCGAGACTGTATTAGTCTGTGTTCTGCTGTAGCAGGATACTGGAAACCCAGTCATTATATGAATAAAATGTGTGGTTCTGGAAGCAGATATTCCCAGAACACAGCCCTGGTGTCTCCTGAGGCCCTTGCCGCTGCACTGCAACGTGACACAGGGGTCAGCAGCTGAACCGCCTAAGACTGAAGGAGAAAGTTCAAAAGGAAGCTGGACCGTCTTAGCTAATCTACCACTTCAGCGATGACTGGGATCCATTCCCAAAGTGTTCATTTTTCAATGTGAAATCCTTGTCCTGGGTTCACATGTCAACATTTTGTACCTAACTGATAACACTCTTTGGGGAGTTGGCAGGACACCCTAAGAGGTAAGGCTTGCAAGAAAGAAGGAGGTTGTTGGAGGTAAACTGATGAGTCAAAACTCCACTGCATGAGACTCTCTCTCTCTCTCTCTCTCTCTCTCTCTCTCTCTCTCTCTCTGTGTGTGTGTGTGTGTGTGTGTGTGTGTGTGTCCTATTCCCCCTCTTTACCCTCCCACTCTTTCTATCTGCCACATATAAGAACAAACACAAGCCCCGATGGTTACACCAAAGCCCCAAGTGTCTCACCTAATTTGCCATGAGACTGACAGTAAGAAATCTTTCCTCTCAGTTGCTTAGAAGCAGGAATTTGGCCACAGCGACAAGAAAAGCAATGGATGCAGAAAAATGGTTCCAGAATTGGGTTGGTAGGATAAACATGACCTTGTTATTAAATGGCTGGAATCCTGTCAGCTGGGGCTCCAGGCTTGATAGGGGAGCTCGTGGCTGGTCACATCACAGTGGCAGATGAGAAGAGGAGAGAAAGAGACAAGCTGGAGTCATCCCCATGGATAAGCCAGCGTATACTCTCATTGTAAGTCCATTGTAAGTGACCTACATCCACCAGACAGGCCTCACCTTTTTATTTTTCAAATTTAAATTAGAAACAAGATTGTTTTATTTGTCAATCCCCTTACCCTTTCCCTCCCCTCATCCCCTGTCCCCCCCACTAACACCCTACCTATCCAATACCATTTCTGCTCCCCAGGGAGGGTGAGGCCTTCCATGGGGGGGGACTTAAGAGTCTGTCATATCCTTTGGGATAGGGCCTAGTCCCTCCCCATGTGTCTAGGCTCAGGGAGTGTCCCTCTATGTGAAATGTGCTCCCAAGATCCATTCCTATGCTAGGGAAAAGTTATGAACTACTACAGGAGGTCCTGTAGATTTCTGAGGCCTCCTCACTGACACCCACGTGGGGTGTCATGGGGTCTGGATCAGTTCCATGCTGGTTTCCCAGTGATCAGTCTGGAGGAGGCCTCACCTTTTAACGATTCTGTAATCCCTGAAAAAAAAAAACCCAGAGCTTCCTGCCAGATGTTCAAATACACATTTATGGCAACATTCACAATCAAACTATATGATGAGTGCAAAAATTTTATGACCTTGTGACACATTGAAGACCTTACTTCCTAACATTATATCATTTAAATTTCATCATCAACAGGGCATAAAGTGGGTGTGGTGGCCATATGCATACAAGCCCCTCACTCTGGAAATAGAATAGGAAATTAAGGTCATTTTAAAATACATATTTATCACACTTTCAGCTACAATGACGTCCCCAAGCATTTTCAAAACAGAAATTTCAATTATCAAGGACCCAAAACCATCAGCATCATCATGGCTCAGTGGCCAAAGCTGACTCCACACATTTCATCCCTCTGATAGATCAGCAGGTCATTATGCTAATATTGCATCAAGATGTCTTCCCTTTTTTAGAGACAAGGTCTAATGTAGGCCTGCTTGACCTTGAACTCACTTTGTGCCCAATGGTGACTTTGAACTTGATGCCCCTAACTCCATCTCCCAGGTGCCGGGAATACGAGTATGAGCCACCATGGTCATATTAAGGAGTGCTGAGGGTTAAACACAGAATTTCAGGTATGCTATGTAAGCAAAAAGCCTACCAACTTAGCTACATCCATGGCTCCCATAATTTCTTTTTTTTTTTTTTTTCAGAAGAAGAGTCTCACTCACTATTTAGCTCAGGCTGGCTTTGAACTCCTGGTCATCCTGCCTCTACCTCTCTAGTGTCAGGATTACAGATTTGTGCCACCATCCCCAGCTATTTGTTTTAGGTCTCACTTTAGAGCTCTGAATGGCCTTTAACGGTCAACTTGCCTCAACTTCTGAAGTGACTGGGCTTGTAAGCTAACATCACCAGGCCTGGCTATGTTTTTCTTGTTGTCATTTATTCATACTGTGCTTAAAATCTGGTGTGCATTTTGGCAATGACAACCTGTCTTAATTGGAGACCTAAATTTTCTCCAAAGATGTTCTTTTGTTCTTTGTCTTTATTTTACTCTTCTTATAAAATCTTGCATTTATATTTACAGATCATGATGCCCCCCAGTAAAGAGGAATTCCATGAATCTGATTTTATAAGAATAGCTGAAGTTTTCTAATAGTTGGGTATCAATTTCAAAGTTGAATTCATTTAAATTAACATTTGATTGACTATATCACAGTTGAAAGGCATCCAATGGTTGGTCTCTTTGTTTTTTTGTCTTAGACAAGGTCTCCCTCTGTATCTCACGCTGATGTAGTCCAAACTACAGTGTAGCCAAGATAAAGGTTCCTAACATGTACTTCTGTCTATTAGTAGGTGAAGGCTGTATACCCCCCCAAAGTGTGAGGACTGCTACAGTTACTGTGTGAAATGCACTTCCATGCCTCCCATGGGAATCCTGGGTTGGAATAATGACCGAAGTTCAATGCCAGATCATCCAATTGGCAGGACCAAGGTCCTGGTGTCATTGAAGTCTACCATGGCACCCTGCCAAAGTCAGAAAAGTACAGATACTTGCCTGAAACCACTGATAATCCCTGAAAAAAAAAACCCAGAGCTTCCTGCCAGATGTTCAAACACACATTTACGGCAACATTCACAACCAACCTATATGATGAGTGCAAAAATTTTATGACCTTGTGACACATTGAAGACTTCACACATTTATATTATATCATTTTAATTTCATCCTCACAGGGCATAAAGTGGGTGTGGTGGCCATATGCATACAAGCCCCTCACTCTGGAAATAGAATAGGAAATTAAGGTCATTTAAAAATATATAATTATCACACTTTCAGCTACAATGACGTCCCCAAGCATTTTCAAAACAGAAATTTCAATTATCAAGGACCCAAAACCATCAGCAGCATCATGGCTCAGTGGCCAAAGCTGACTCCACACATTTCGTCCCCCTGATAGATCAACAGGTCATTATGATAATATTGCATCAAGATGTCTTCCTTTTTTAGAGACAAGGTCTATTGTAGGCCTGCTTGACCTTGAACTCACTTTGTGCCCAACGGTGACTTTGAATTTGATCCCCCTAACTCCATCTCCCAGGTGCCGGGAATACGAGTGTGAGCCACCATGGTCATATTAAGGAGTGCTGAGGGTTAAACAGAGTTTCAGGTATGCTGTGTAAGCCACAAGCCTACCAACTTAGCTACATCCATGGTCCCCATAATTTCTTTTTTGTTGTTTTTTTCAGAAGAATTGTCTCACTCACTATGTAGCTCAGGCTGGCTTTGAACTCCTGGTCCTCTTGCCTCTACCTCTCTAGTGTCAGGATTACAGATTTGTGCCACCATTCCCAGCTATTTGTTTTAGGTCTCAC